GTGTGAGCACGACGACGAGTAACTATAATCGAACTCCTTAATAAAGTGTGTGTGTATTATTTCCGCGTGAACTATTATTATTTCCTACAATATTAGGCACATAAAATAAATATTAGACATTTGTTTTTGGCTACCCTATTAATGTTGCTGTCCGAGTGCGGTACACCCATTACACCCTCGGATTGAAGTGGCTCTGCACACGCGTGGACATTTCCAAAGAAAGACACAAAAACTAATCATCTAACACATATGTACATATATACGTTTCCCAGCAGCCTGGGGATCCAGAGGAAGACTAACAAGAGAGAATTCCGGACTTATAGGTACCCGGTTCGCTGGTCCCGTGACGTTTCGCGCGCGTCGCCACGGATATTTACCAAAATTGAATTTCCGTCTGGTCCTACGTATTCCGCGGGTTACCCCGGACTAGCCCCGTGGCGACATAATACAATATTCCGGGGGTGAGCCCCAAGCCCCATCGGAAGGCGAAACGACGGAATGAGAGCCGGTGTTCGACATCGTATAGACGGGATATGGGACGAGGGCGCCACGTGTATCGGCCGTGTGCACGAGTACCACGACTCTGAGTAGGGTCAACGGTGTTTCCGGTGTCTGACTCGATCGAAGAAGATATGAATACCTTGGATTGGCAGATATTGTCTGCTCCCTTCTGAAACCGAAACCCCTCTATCCGCTGTCTGTCGGCTGGCAAGAACGGCCAGATATAGAGGCATTCCTGGCGAAGACAGAAAGAGAAAGGGTTTGATAGCATTTCTCGTCTGAAGTGGTAAAGGCAAGGCGTGAAGAGTGGACGTACGGCTATTGGGTTAGCGAACTGTCGCGGGACGTGACTGAAATGCGATGAAGGAGCAGCCGTGACGGGGATAAAGCGTTCTCGGCTTTGACGGTTCGCGAATTAGGGAATGTTACTCGGTTCAGGTATTTCGTGGGTATTTTTCTGGTCAACGTGTCAGAACTCATTGTTGATTGTTTAATTCTTTCTATTCACTTTTGCGTTATTAAACAGTTGTTGCGTATTCGTTGAACAATGGATAAGATACAATTGAGCCGCTCACTGGCCAGATCGATTAACCTTTTGAATTTTTTAGGATTTTGTTATTAAAACGTTTCATTGGCTCTTAACTTTTTATATTTAATATAAACTTCATTATGACCGAGTTTGGACATAATGAAAAGTCTTTCGATCATGGAAAAATTGCAATAATAATAATAAAAGTTAAATATTTGTTAGATTGAAGCTGTACCTGTGTTAATCAAGTAAAATACATTCTATTATGATGACTCGATTCTGCATTTAAAGGGAAATATTAAAAATCAATATGTAACTGTTGCATCACTTTTCTCTACTTTTTGTTTTGTGGAGTTAATTGATTTATCCAATGAGTGGTTCAATTAATGGTACACGTTGATTGTCATTCAAGCAGATTGATTTTGATTGATATTCAATTACAGATATGAACCTTTTATATATTTTCATCGCATGAAAGAAGTAGTTTTGCTAATTAATACTTGACTTTTATTAAAAAATTTTGAACTGCCGATTCTACACAAGAAAAAGCTTGCATAACACAAGTATACAAACGACAGAAATTGTTGAATACACCCTTATGTAGATAATAGTATGAGCAAAAACTTGCAAAGAATTTACCAGAGCATCGAAGGTATCAAACCAACGTTCTATTCATATTATTCAAGCCAAACGATATAACATTAAGGAAGAAGATGAAATTAAAAGAAAAATAAGAAATAACAACAAATTGAAGAGTACACAGTAACGCGACAAGTATTTGATGAATAAATTGTGTTTTAGTGGAAAATGATTAATTTAGACATTATTATACGAAACGAAGAGTGTTTGCTTCGAGCAAATATGTCGAAAGATGCACTTCCGTGTGAAATTTTTAGCTGGCAACCCTTTCCTTGTTTTCCGTCTTCCTAGCCAGCTAATGAAAGCTTCGAATGGCTCTAGCAGCGTAGCGAGTCATCGAGCTGCGAGTGGAGGGTCTCCAGAAAAGGCTAGTAAGAGGCTCTTCCGTAATCGGGATTCCCTTTTGTTTCACCCCCATTCATCTTTCGAGCCGTGTAAACGCTAGGTAGAAAATTCTCGTTTTAGGACCCGCTGGGTAATACAGATACAGTCCGCAGAAAGTTTCGAGTAGGGTCGGTGGGATCCTCCAAAGAAGAAATATATTAAAAACATAATGAAATTTAGTTATTTCTTTGCCTCGTTTTCAGTTGATAAATGGAAAAAATATTTTTTGGATAAACGTAACATACGGAAATAATAAAATTGATTAAGAAATATTTGTTGTATTTATCGCTTTTTCAGTTTTGGAAATTTGTTCTAAGCTTTCATTAATTGTTTCACAGACTAATTAAAAAATCTTTTTTAGTTTCGCGTTGTGCAACTTGAAAATATCAATGACGTTAATCGAAATTAAATACTTGGATAGATGTTGATGAAACATATGGAATATTTGATTGCAAAATATTGTTTTTAAACGGCTGAGATTATTCAAGTGGAATTTACAAAACTCGTTCGTGGACTTTTTTTAAAAATTTTTGTGGATTAAAATCACCCAGATGTTCGGATTATAGATACATCGTGTCAAATATTTAAATCGAAAAGAACAGGGAATCACTGCGCAATGTTACAGAATAATAAAAACATGTTCGTTCTCGATGATTGAATGCCAGGATTAGCGATCACGTCCAGACAAATTGTTTTATAAACCGCTTTGTTCCGCGATTTTGGTACTCGGACACTGCATGTGCTAGTTTCAAACAAAGTGATAATTTCCCGAGATTGACATCACTATACGGATTTGCATCCATTTCTAGCTCACAATTGTTTTTAAAAGTAAATAACAGAAATTTCTACTGAATTTCATTGTGATGCGTATTATTTTTATAACATTATTTTAGTTGTGTTTTTACCAAAAGAAATTGTATTTTGGAGTCCACTTGTGACTGTATTATCAAATTTTACTATTAAATTTCTATTTACAAAACTAAGAACCTTACGTACAACATGCATGCAATTTGAACGAAGGATATATAGAAATGATCGGAAATACATTATGCGACAGAATTGGATAAATAGATTGTAATAATATTAATAATAATATATTATAATATAATATAATTATTGTTACACTGATAAACAATTCTGGGGCATGTAACGTTGCCATAACACACGGCAGGAGTACTCTCGAAAAAGGGGGTGGGATCTTGTCCGGATTCAAAGGAAAACCAAAGTTGCTTAGGTTTTGTGTTTTACTGAATCACACAATAGCGAGTCCGAATAGGAAAAACGTGGTAGAGGTTTTCATTTAATGTTGACGGTTGCGTGGTTAGAATGATTTTGCTTTTCTTCTCGGTTGATGGGATTTAGGAAAACTCGGAAAAGGGAGAATTTCATAGTAGAGAAGAGGAAACATTCGGACCTTAATAATTCACGTTGGAGGTTGGAATGACTAAGAATCTGGACGTCGGACTACCGGTTATGTTTACGCTTCATCAGATATACAAGATGTTCACAGAGCGGTTAGGTTTACAAATAGACGCAGTCATAATGCTAACGGGACATTTCGGTATGCATAATGTTGTTTTTAGATAGGGGTGATGATGGTGTGGTGTCATGATGGAAACGTAGTAATAGTAATAATAATTATTATGAATACTCGGGGTACTTAGTGGGGTAGGATGTAATAGGCAACATACCTATTGAAACTGTTGTAGATACAGTTATAATGTTTGATAAACAATATCAGTGTGTATATTACTTGCCAATGTTGTCTTGATAATTCATAACGTTCGAACTTAATTAATCAATAACAAACACATGAAATTCTATTGTTGTTACGCCATACATTATGTGCCTAATAATTAAAGTTAATATGAATTTTATAGTTCACTTGAAATAGTTGATTATTCTATAAAATACTTAGTTAATTCACACATTTACTAAATGTGAATTCTGATACTAATAGAAATATATTTCATCTGCCTATAAACACTAGATAAAAAATACTCTTCTTGGTCCATCATTCATGAAAACTTTAAATCATATTTTTCATTTTAAGCAACCGCATTGATTGTTCGCGTATGCCAGTTAACGTCTATTTTTAATAAGGCAAAGGTAAGTAATTAATTTAATGAAAGCCTATGTCTCGCAAATTCGTCGTGATTGAGTTGGAAAGGTATTTACGGACCAACGAAATTCAAACTACGAATTACGTTGTGTGGAACGTTACATGTGTAAATAGACGTAATTATTGTGCAATGAACAAATATGTCACATAGAGTGAGCGAAGGAGTATAGATAGCTTTATTGTCTCTGTTTAGTTCAGAGACGCAAATTTCGATGAACCTGTTAAGTGTTTTTAAATAAAAAATAAACGGAGCCGCGTTCGATATGAATTTTTCTTCGCAAGAGTGAAATGTATTCAATACCAATTGCATGAAACACATGCAGGATAAATTAGATAAATTGTTACAAGTAATCCTCTCGGAAACTATAGCAGCTATCGATCTAATTTTCTGTTTTAAACGGTACAAAATTTACTTTTTCCTAAAACAACTGCTAAATGATGAAATAAACGAGCATCGGTTTTTCTGAAGAGTAGACCCATTCGATTATTTCGTATATTGACCCTTTGCAAATTTCCTTTGTTATAAATTGTTTGCCATAAAAAATATCAAAAAATGATTAAAGCAAATGTTCTTTAATTTGATATAAACTAGTAGCTATTTTAAACAAAATATTTTGTTTGTGATATAATCGGGCTCCTTGTACCGGTTAATTAAACAGAAATTACATCAATAGCTCTTACAGTTTCAGACATAACAACTCGTAACGTTTTATCCGATTTACTCTGTATATTGAAGGTACGAGAAGTATAAAAATTGCCATGGAAAAACGTGGCTGAAACAATTAACGTTTGTCCACGTTATTAAAGGATTTCTTTTATTTACAGTTCGGGGTGCTGTTAGTTGTACGACTCGCCCTCCTTCACGGCGCTTTACCGAAGTTCTCGCCGCAGGATAATCCGGCAGCTTTTCATCCCTGTTTCCACGTCAGGTGAGTATCTGCATAAGTCCTTTATACTACACGAGTTGTAACAAGGTTTACAATTACAATGTTGCAAAACTCGTGGCGATTGTGGACGCGGAGACACCATGCGCCGCTGTCATGCGTTCAAAGCTGACACCCTGGATAAACACGACATCAAAGTAACGAGAGACTGAAATATAAGGCGATACGCCAATCTAAATGCGAAGTACCGAGTATTATACCTCTATATTTCATGCTTTTTAGTCAGTTATTATATCGTGTAACATGAAATGTGGGATTTTTCTTACTCGTAAAGGTTCGTACTCCTATTATTGTTATTTTCTTCTTTTTCATAAAACCCTCTAAACAGTCTCATTGTCGATTATCAGAGTAACTTTTTGCAAAAAGTTTCTCCGAGTTGTGCTTAATAACTATTTTTTGCATCGTTTTTTGAAAACATGGATACTGCCAACGTTTGTGTAATTTTCTTGTATGAATTCAAATTTAGGATAATGCTGCAAAATCCGCTGAAAATATAAACAAAGCATTTGGGAACAATACTGTTAATGAAAGAACAGTGCAGCATTGAATTGTGAAATTTTGTTTTGCTGATGTTTCTCTGCAAAATGTGTCTCTCAGTAAACAGTAGCTTATAACGATGTCTGTAGAATTTATTAATTCTAAACATTCAGAATTTTTCAATAAAGGAATATATTCATTAAAAATACTTTGTTAGAAGTGTATAAAATAGAATTGAAGAGTATATTTTGATTGAACAAACGTCTTTTAGAACATCAACTGAGGTTTTCTTTCTTCCGCAAAATCCAACATTTCATATTACACGACCTAATAAAACAATAACTACGGGAACCGTACTGGACACTAAAATCCTGGATATTTTACACTTGGTCTGAAAAATACTGCTCCATAAAAGAGTGGGTATATACTGTATAAAATTTTAAGTCAGGCTTATTTATTTTTTATCTTAGTTTTGAAGCTGCACGAAGTTCATTGGATAGTTTATTACAAAACGGAAACGTCTTTAAAGATTGTAAACTGAAGTTTGATGACGACTTTTAAGGAGCAACAGGATAGTTCGACAAGAACTTTTTTTTTAAGTCGTCCATCGCAACATTGGCTTATAAAGAATTTAAGAAGACTTAGAGTTTATTATTATTATGATTATCCGAAAGATACTAAAAGTATGAATGTACCAAAACGGGGCTTCTCTGTGTGATGGTAAATCAAAAATATCGGGTTTACGGAAATTAAACAAATTTAAAAAATGATAATTAAATACACTGAGAAGACTAACAGAATGAATCAATTTTAATAATTATCATATCTTATTTAATATTAATTATTAATAATAATAATCATTATTGCTGTTTAGGGACTTTCTTTATTTAATTTCGTGCAAAAAGAGTACGTAGATTTTTAATGATTTATCTAGGATTCTTTCTAAAATATTAAGTGTAAAGATTTTATAATTTAGAATATACAAGAAAGTTAAGTCAAGAAATACTAGTCTACACCAATGAATGTTGGTATTCTCCAAATAAATTTCGTTGTGCACAGAATACTATTTTACCCAACCAAACGTTAAATTTTTGCAATAGGTAAACATACACTGATCTATGAACGTATAATGTCCTCGTCAAACGTGAAGCTATAAATAATAAATAATTCTAACCAAGCTAACATCAAAACAATCGTTAATCAATGATTTAATCGAAAACCCGTTCATCCTATGATATCACACAATTTTCCCAGGTTCTGTAAAACACAATTTCCTGCTGCAACTATAAATATAATAATTCTAAAACGAAATAAACGGCCACTACTATTTTCTCAACACGACTATCTCCTATTCGCGATCGTTTCCGTTGCACTTCCGTAGAGCCATCGTTTATACCGCGGTCTACCTCGCCCGACCCGAATCCGTGGCAGCGCAGTAGTCGAGGCTCCTCGCTCTTCCCTCTTTAGGCTGAGCTCGAAGCGATATCCTCAAGTTCGAAAAGCGTCGGTCGAATCACCCGACGACGTCGGAGCCTCCCGATTCGCAGGCGGGTTAAACCGAGCGACTCGACTTTTCCAGTTGCTTACTTCTGCCCACCTCGCCCATTCGTAACGGAAAGAGTGAAAAGAGGTCGATAGAGGAATGCAGAGCCGGCTCGCTGCTTCGGTGTACCGTCAAAGAGCCGATGCTCGTTCGACTTTTCAAAAATTTCCCCTCGCTGCACTGGAGGAAGGCTGACGTACACTTGCACGTAGGAAGACGCTCGCCCGCAACAGCCGAAAAGACCCTCCGTTCGATTTCCGATCATTTTCTTGCCGGGTTCTTTGGAGGTTCCGCGCCATTCGTCCTCTAGCGCGAGCGTTTACCTTCCTCCCGGCTGTTTTTCACGAGGAAAAAAGACGAGGGAAGGAAAGCACGAAGTCGCCCCGAGGCACCCACCAACGCCCGACGAAAAATTCCGAAATATACGACTCGATTTTACGGACCGACGGACGTGTCCGGTAAATCCGATTCCGCTATCTCCCTGAAGACTGACGATATCGACTGGACCCGGCGCGGCGGAGCTCCAGCTATCCCGCGGCGAGAAAGGAATATGTCGGGGTGGTTTACGTGGCTCGAGAAAATAGAACTGATTCCGATGTAACGCTCCATTTCAATATCTTGATATGACGCGCCAAACTTCCTTTTCGGCCGGGCCGTTCGCGTCCCGCCGCGCCGCGCCGGTTACGCCGGAACGCGTCCGTATCCGCTTCCGGCAGTATCGACGGAAGAATTATTGTATTATTCGTGGAAGAGAATGTGCTCGGCCCACTTTCAATTCCGCTGCCCTGTTTTTGACCGAGCGTTTGTCGCGTCCCGTGGTACGGTGTCCCCCGTCGTTTCGACGACGAATGACCAACGGAAACCGATATCGCGTTGCAATCATGGTCTTGATACGTGGATTGCTGTTTGTGCTCACCCTTTCAATAGGAGTGTGGGTAGCGCTGACAATGGTATTTATGTTGATGAATACTATATTGTACGAAATTCGCTATATGATATTCCGGACGAGTCGTTAATTTTTGTAGGAAATTCGTTAAATGCTTTCGCGAACGAGCTCCGAGTTTGTAAGATACTAGTTAACGAAATTCTGGACGATTCTTAGTGTGTGAAATAACAGAAAACAGTTTATTAAAACAATAATAAGAATAACGCTAATATTATTTACTAATGCGCTAAGTTTTGCCAGTTGCTACGCTAACCAGTCACTGTCAAATTATCGGTACGTACTCTCGCCCTAAACTCATTCGCTGCTTGTTTTTTTAAACAAGGATAGGATCCGAGTTGAGTCCGGAAGGGGAAGGGAGATTTGATCTCCTAACAATCTAAAAGAGTGAAAAACATTAATTATAGCGAAGAAATGGATAGCAATTGCCATCGTGAGAGAGAAGAGCGGGAAAAAGTTTTCAAAAACCTGCCGAAAACAAGCGCTAGATTCATTCGCCACTGAACTTCCACGCACTTTTATATTTTATCGCCAACCGCTCTTTCTTTCTTCTTGCGCTTCCTTTTCACTTGCATTCAGATCCTTGCATTCATAGCCAAAACTCACGCAGTCACGTTCCGTCCGTTGCAGCAAAACTACACTCTCATTTGAGTGGTCAGATTAGAAGGCGAACGCCTTATCCACACGGATTTGCGAATCTTGTATATGATTCGTTGAGGCGTCTACGCACACTGACCGGGTCGCGCGGCAAAAAGTGCGAAGGGCCGTTTCCGAACGAATCGAGGTGAAGAGAAAAATCGCTTAATCATGAGGCATTAGCGGACTCTCAGTTTCTTTATTTCTTTTGCTTCAGAAAACCACTGACATTGTTCTATATAATGTCATGATATAATTACATATAACAATTAATATGCTATATACAGGGTGGGCCACGAAGCGTGATCAGCTTAGATTATTCTGCTGTTAACAGTTCGATTGAAATTTTTTTTAGCTAAAATAACATGGTTCAAGGAGAGTTTTAAGATAATTATAGCAAATTTTTTGTCAATCCTCTTTCCCAGAGTTATCAAGGTTACCTTCAGTTTTTACAGGTAAACCTACAATTTTTTACATCCATCTTTTCGAGGATACTGAGATGAATTCAACAATCATCATAACAAATATTTGTTTCTGAACCTAAAAAAACTGCAGAAAACTCTTAGTTGCAAGAGGTTTACAAGATTTTTAAAGATTATTAAAGAGTTGTACACTTTCTAGAGCTGTTCGTAAATTAGTATTAAATACCCATTACTGACTTGATTCTGCACGAGATCTAAAAGAGTATCGAAAGTTTAGAAATTGGAAAACCCGGATGTAATATTGAAATAATAAGGATTGGATGTTGTAACTCAACTTCTGTAGAAATGTATCATTCGCGCAAAGAGTCATTATTCGAAAAAATGATGTTATCATTTTCTGCAAGCACCTTTGAAATGTGCATAAATAATTTTCCTCCTAAACCGATATGTTCCTTGCGGCTAGAATCAGATTATTACTATAATTGTAAAGACCTCTGAAGAAACGTATAATTAATTGAAAAGTTTAAAAAATTATGAAAGTAAAGTTGGTATGCATGTTGGAACTCAATAATATACATATATTAACATTTCTGATCTTCTCTTAATCCGATTAATTTAATGATGTGTTGAAACTAACTCGATCAGCAATAAAATCCAACCATGACGCTAATGATTTTAGTTAGTATTATAGGATCTTGTTTAGAGTGAAAGTTTGTTGGACATAATAAATCACAGTGAGCGTTGTTGAAAGCTTTGGGAAACCTTGGGCGTGACTGAAGGGTGTTTCGGACAGAGTAGACTGCTTTTGGTGCATGGACTGGGTGCATTGCTCAGAGTTTATGTGATACTTTGGGTGGTCCAAGGAAAATGCGTCCATGTGTGCTTGCATGCGTGGGGAGAGGCATTTCACGAGAGTCAGCGTGTAAATATCATGAAATAGTAGGTCAGAGTCATGGAGCTTTGT